TTGGCTACCGCCGTCATTACGTCTAAAGATGTGTTGCCGTGTTTGCCTGACATGTTGAAAATAAGGTCACTTCAGTGAACGACGAATATTTGGTATGCAATGGACTCCAATAAAGCTAAAAGGAAAAAGAAATATTTCGTTAAGAATCACATATATGATATTAACAAATAAAAATCTTACACATAATTGATCATGTTCATCAGAATAACTTGTTGCATGAACATTTGAGTCGTATTTACAGCTGACAAGTGTGGGTGGTATCACCTCATGACTGTGCCAAGCTACAAGTGCTTATTGTATTACCTTTTATTTTGACCGATTGTGCAAACAGGGGAAATTGAAACTCAAATAAATATAAAATAATATACCAGTAAAAGCTTGTATTGCGTGACAGTCGAAAATACCGCAAACGATAGTACGTCGTTGTAGATTAACAGTACACTGCATCTTTGTTGATGGTTTCGATATAAACTTAAGTATATGTTAGTCTATTGCCAAATGTAATTAAGAGCACAACGAATGTCGTATAGATGGGCAAGAAAGCGTACGTTATTATTAACCAGTACGTGAATACTGCCAAACATTCACCCATTCAAGACACGAACCAATGTAACTTTATATACATTCTGATTATTAAGTAAAATAAAGTGCACACATAATCAAATGGGGATAAATGGAGATATGAATCCCCGCACCGTGTGGGATCTTGTCGTCCAGTTTAGGGCTAATCTGCACTGGCTCGGAAGGTTGTAAATGATTAGCTAGTTTGAATTTGCATAACAATACTGACAATGAACGTGCATTCAACGCCACAAGTTTTTTTGTTTTTTTAGCCAATCAGAATTCATCTTCCGAGCCAGTGCAGATCAGCCGCCAGTTTACAGTTTCTTGATACTGAAAGCGATTTACATGATTTGCCAATTTGAGCGATTAACAACTCGTGGGGATTTTATTAAGAAAACAAACAGCATGTGAAATGAAAATTCTAAATAGATAGTAGTTTTTTTGTATTACGTCAGTAAATTGACACTCTTTACAATACGGCTTTCAATTATACATTACGTTTATTATTGATACTCTTTACAATACGTTTTTTAATTTGACAGTAATACATTTCCTAATTACGAGCAGCAATGACGCAACTCGTCATCAGACAATTAAATCCTGTCAGATCGCAACACTCTCATTTTGAGATACGTGACCGGATGAGAATTCGATTGAGACAAGACAAAACAAGACTTAATACAAATGAAAGTACGAAAGAAACTGCATGCTACCAGTAAACAACCACTTCCCCGTAGCTACGTTCGAATTATATATAATTACATGTCATTGTAATCCCCAGTGGGAGCACATTATTCAGTGAAGATTATGAAGAACATTTCAAAAGCTGCAAATTTGTTCAATTGTACGGAAAAGCGACAGTGTGCGCAGTTCTTGGCGCAGTCGGAGATGAGACGAGACAATTCTTCTACGTGCCCTGTCACCAAAACGAGGCGAGTGTCGGAAAAAATCACTTCCAGAACACCGACAAAAGTTGTGAAGAATCGGATGTCGGGTAAGTCCAGTACATCGTATCCCAGCATGTATAATCAGTTTTAGTTAAACGATAATTGAGACATGCGAAGGATTTTAAATTTTTACGAAAAAGGCATGAAAGCGATGAAAATTCTATCACGCCGTTTTTTCTTTTCACTGAGGTAACATATTTCTGTGTTCGAAAGCGTCAGATTGACTCAAAACGTTATTATAACGAAGACAAATGGCCAACTTAATAGCGTTATTAACTGGTGCATTCATATCGTTAATAATCACATTATGACGTTTGCAAATAACAGCATAACTACGTTTTACAATATTATACAAATAACTTTTTTGAAAATAAAACTTTTCAAACAATAAACATTTTTCAAAAATGTTATTATATTGCATTATTGCTATTGCATTGTATAAGTATTATACATGCATCTTTACTGAATACGTCGTATTGCCAAGAACGCTCGAATTGTTTTGAATTTCATAATTGAGTACCGTTTTCCAAAACGTTTATAGTGGCATTAAATAGCAAACAATAGAATCCATTTAATGTGATCCATTTGAGTGAATTATCGATATTATAATAATACATCTTTGTATATGATAACATAATATATATGTCGAAAATCTAGTGGTATACTTCCCGGGGTAGGTTATTTCTTTATTGAACACGGAATGAACAATCATATCTAAATGAAAATTAAAATATTTAAGTTTCAAAACTGCTGCAGATGCAATACAGAATACGACAATGCGATAGTGCACAAAGTGTTGGCAAATCACACCATATGGTTATTGTGAGATAAAAGAGAATACCAATACACTTCCCGAGTTGTGATACAATATACATGCCACAAAATAAATAGCATTATTATTTACCATATATATAACACACGGTTTAGGAACAAAACGTAAAAAACAAACAAAATAACAAAACATACTGTCAGCATGGTTAATTAATTTCAAGTTACATAACTATATTATGGTAGGCAGCATTGCTCTGCCAATCGTACCGCGAACACGTGCCTCAGTAAAGAAAATTGCAATATAGGTCGGATCGTACCATTCGCGGAAAACTCTTGCGACTCGGTCTACTACGGTTATGGCAACTACCGCCACCCTACGATACTATACAATGTCATGGCAGTGAGTAAATACTGTACTACCTATTATATTGACAGATATTGTTATCGTTTTATTTTCCTTACATTGGTCATTTTGCAATAAAAAAAAACATTTGTAACGTTCAGCACATAAAATGAATATGAGTTTTTTTTTTACCGAACAAAGCCTAAAATATGCCATCGTTAAACTGTGTCTATACAGTGCTATATAATTTGGAATAAAGTAGTATATCTATCTATTGTTGCCGCGCGTCAGGCTGCTGACAAACGTAGAATGAAATATGCCTAGCATGGAAAATAAAACCCAGTTTGAAAGGAGTATATTGACTAACACATTTCAGCATTAAACGATCAGTCGGTACCATATGTGCTCGGTCAACATTTGTCACTGTTAAAAACATACTAATGTAGACCTATCACGCACAGGGCTTTACTGAATCCATTCAATAACGAATACAGAATTGTTTTAGAAAACAAATCATACCAAGGAATATATACAAATATTCCGAGTTTTTATTCTTTGAATTATAAATATAAGTATTTGATTATCATTATTATGTATTTTTTTGTAGATCATTTAATATTTCAGATTACGCTGATCACGTCATCACGTTTACGCTATCAGGAGGTAATCTCCGATGTGCAAGTGATGACAAGCAACCTCATCGTCAAATGAGTTCCACTGTCCCTCGTTTAAAACGAAACGGGTTGGCAGTTTCACTAAAAAAAAAATTAAAAAAAATATTTAAATAATATCAGAACAAAAGCAATGGACTTGTGAACTGTACATGAATTGTGATTGCAATTGTGACTTAAGCTTAACAATTTTGGTCATTCACATATCGTCGATTGAAAACTGGACCGTCATGCAAATCGCAAATATTGAAAGCTTGTATGCACACGATTCTAAAAAAACAATTAGCAGAATTTCTCGCGGTTTATTATATTCGTTACGATGTATTTCAAATCTATATACAGTGATAACCTGTGGAATACCACAATACATTACGAAATTATTGTTTTGCTCGCATGCACATCAGTTGAAGTTCTAACCCACTAATTTATTTCCTGACTTTCATACTGCCTTCTGTTTGGAGCTCTTTGGCAAATTAGCCATTTGATTATTGACTAACTAGACGAAGAATCTATGAAAGGACAACCATGTTATTTTTAATTTAATTTCACTCACGATTGAAAAATGATTAGAAAATAAAAGACCAATTGAAACAACAATTTACTTTAATTAAATCTTTTTCGAGTCGTCAGTCAAAAAGCCTGTGCAAGCAAACAACGTGTATATGAAAATAACGAATCCGCCCGTTCGACTACGTGTCATGGTTCCCCCTGACGTACGACATTTTAGGGAGCTAGTATTACTTGCGCCAAACTCTAATGATATCCATAATATGGGTTTGATCGTAGTTTAAATAAAAAATAGTTTTTAACAACCGGTAGGGCGATGCTATAGCCATAATAGCTGTATGGCACATGCGAAATTATTGGCTTCGAAATAAATACAAGACTTCATTACAAACGAAATATGCAGTCTGAAATTATGCTTGATGTTACAGACACCAATAACAACGTGAATGTATTACAGAAAGAAAACAGTAAAGCATATACTCCGATAATTTATGAATAATGGACGATTCAATACTGTAAATGAGGGAATGGCAGGAAAGGGCGGCATCTGATTTTGATGGAACGTCATTCGCATGTAGGCAATCGTCGAAGCAACAAAGACCCTTATACAAATAGACCAAAATCAACGACTAAATTTACAGAATAATTCCACACAAAACATAGAAACATAAAATATAGTACAGGCCAATTCAACTGATAATCAATTTGGCGCCACTAGATTTATGCGTGATTTTATTGCGTTCTTGTTCAATTTCAAACTGCGTGTGCATACAAAGTGATTTCGATTTATTGAAATGCATTATGAAACTGGTCACTGGTGAACGTCATTGAAAATATTATGCTTAACTTTAAGCAAT